TACCTCTTTTCAACAAAATAAATGGTGTGGATTCATAGTATGGTGCTGTAGGATAAGCACTAGACTGTGAACCATAGGTCAGCCATTCAAATTATATACAGGAGTGGCATTGTGGGTTAATGCGCTAGACGGCAAAGTCGATTTGAACTGCAAGGTCGGTGGTTCAGGCTCACCAGCTGTTCCTCAAAAACCCTATACAGGGTCACTATGGGTTGGAACTGACTTAAGGAGTCAGAACTGATTTGACGGCATTTAACAATGATACACAGGGACCTTGCCAGAGAAGACATGCTAGAATCTGTGGAAAGACACAAGGGAGCAGCTCAGTAGTATCAGGAGCCAACTGTGGAACCAATCAATTGCTCATATGCAAATTCAGGACAAAGATGAAAAACCTTAAGACAAGTTCCTGGGAGCCAAAATATAACCTTGAATATATCCTGGCTGAATTTAATGACCATCTCAAGAAAACATTTAACGTATTGGATACTAATGACTGAAGACCAGAGGTGTGTAGGATGACATCAAGAACATCATAGATGAAGAAAGCAAAGGTCATTAAAAAGACAGGAAAGAAAGAAAAGGCCACAATAGATGTCAGAAGAAACAGAAACCTGCTCTTGAATGTAGAGAAACTAAAATGACTAGAAGAAATAATGAAGTAAAAGAACAGAGCAGAAAATTTCAAAGAGCAGCTTGAGAAGACAAAGTAATGTATTATAATGAACTGTGCAAAGACCTGGAGTTAGAATCCAAAACAGAAGAGCATACTCAGTATTTCTTAAGGTGAAAAAACACTAGAGAAAAAATTCAAGCCTTGAGTTGCAATATTGGAGGATTTCATGGGCAAAATGCTGAGTGACACAGTAAGCAAGTAAAGAACATGGAAAGAATAGAGTCACTGTACCAAAAGGAATTGATCCATGTTCAACCACTTCAGGAGGTAGCTTACGATCAAGAACCAATGGTATTATAAGAATTCATTGTAAGGTATTTCTGACCTCCTAAAAGCTTACATTTTCTTCTGCTTTTCAAGTCTATAACTCAACTTCCTTCTATCCACCATGACTTCTCAGTGTGTTTCTTCACTGTCCAATAATTGTGCTGAGTGTAGGAAGGAAGGACTCCCACACCTGACTAGGGCAAGTCTGCTTTGTGCCTCACTAGAGTTGATGACCTCCACCTGGAGATTACCTGCACATTTCCTTTAACACCCACTTCTCAAGTCTCAGGTCTGGCCTCTGGTAATGAGGAACTTATACTCTGAAAGCTGTGCTGCTCCTGTTTGTAGTATTCTGAATTGTTGTTCACAGAAATGTATAACTTACGACCACTGATTTGATTTTGCCCTTTGAAGTAACATGACATCCTTTCACATCTTAAAAGAAAGGCAACTCAACTTCCCTCAATCTTCCCCAGATGAAAATCTTATCAATTCCTTCAATTGATTCTCATAACAGGATTCTAGACCTATTACCCTTGTGGTAACAAGGGTAGCTCTATCCATTAAAAGGTGAAAACTAGCAAATAACAGAAAATACAAGAGAATGGCCCTGACCATTTAAAAATCACGATCCATTTGACAAAAACTTTATGGACACAGAACATTTACATATAGATTATAAACCATGTCAGGGGTTCATGGACTCAAGATTAAGGATTCCTAGTTTACAATGCTATAACAGAGGTTGATTGGAGAGCTATCAAAGTTGCTGTGGAGCAGGGGCAAGGTAATAACAAACATTCCTTCCTACAGGAACCCCAAGGTGGTGGTTCAAACCCACCAGCCACTCCTTGGAAACCCTATACTGGATTGCTTTAAGTTAGGAGACTTCACAGCCCTTCGTAACAGTCTGGATTTGATGCTGCCACATGGACTGTACCTGTTACTTTTTAAAATGTAAGGGATTTAAAAAAAAAAAAAAATCAGTTGAGTGATCACTGACACAATATTGGGTTCCAAACTATCATTCTAATTGCTCCAAGTGTACTAATTATATTTATCAAACTAGATGTGTAAGCTGCTTGAGGTGGAGAAGGCCTTTTACTACTAAGCATTGGAGAAATGTAGCTGTTTATTACAAGTTTGCCACATGGGATTCAGAATAATCTCTACACAATGCTACTTGGTCTGGCTTGGGAGGCTTATTCTTACCTTTTCCTTAAATTCATCCTACAGGACATACACATGTTAACTGTCTTCAGGTCTGCTGCTAAACACTGGCACGGTATCTGAGCAGTGACAATACAGAGAACTAATTTTAGAAATGCTTTTGAGGAGATGTAATTCCTACCTAACCCACATGCACAAGTCAGTTACATTTTACTCTTCATAACAAATCCTGCTAAATTCCAACATGAATCAAGCAGCAAATGAGATTTGTATTTAGGAGAACCGACCACTGTCACAGTTGACTGATGCCATTCAGATCCTTGACCCTTTACTGTGTTTCTATTTTTCTTTATAATAAATGTCAAATTTTCTGAAGCTTGCATTATCGTTTAATAAATTGGAATTTGCAGTTGCTGATTTTAAGCTCAGAGGGCAACAGCTGTGTCCAATATACAGCTTGTGGAATTCTATGTTTAGTATAGAATACATAATGAACAGACAAATGTTTTCCAACATTATATTCTGAGTGTTTCTTAGTCAATACAATTATGATTCCAAGTCTGATTTCTTAGGCAATACAATTATGATTCCAAGTCTGATTTATATGACAAATATGTCGACTTTATTTTGAAAACAAAACATCAGAACCATTTTACTGAAAACTAGCTTTATTTTAAAATTAAGTGCATAGCACTCATCTAATTCCATTGGCGTAGACTTTAGCACCATCTCACTATTTTGCAATTAATGTGCTAACACAGATTTTGGTTTGCAGTCTATACTTGAGTAGTGTTTATTTAGTGGACTTTGGTAAAGCCCTTTATACATATTAGTTTGTTCACAGTACATATTTAATGATGGTCCAGTAATCTCAAAACAAAACAACCAAAACCAAACAAAAAAAGCAAACCTACCTTAAAGACTAATTAATAAATTAAACAAAACCAAACCCACACAATTCTCCCACCCCTCAAAAGCTAGCAGTTATGAGTTGTGTTTATATTGAAAGTTAAATGCTTTTAAAATAGTTCTGGTACTCCAACCATCCCACCCTTCCCTGCCCGGGTATGCAGCAATAGCAACAGATTCTTTTATTCTATCCGCCCCCCTCCCCCTCAAATCAATCCAGTGTTCTTTAGAGTCTTTAAACATAGATTGGGAACGTGTTAATAAGCTTTTTAAAAAAGGCATATTCTTCTATAACAAGAATGACATTTAAACCAATCAATAAAAGCATTTGACAAGACATTAAATTACCATAGGCACCAGTTGTTGTTTCAGTTGGGATCTCTATCCCAGTATCTTACATTCATAGTACTATTGAGGTAGTTAAAATACTGAAAATTGGACTCCAGGTTGCTGGATTCTGAATATGAATGACAGATTCTCTTTTGAAACTTCTTTCCCCTCAAATAATTCAAGTTATCATAAGGTAAAAACTACCAAATCCAATTAGCAGCTTCTGTAAAGAGGGAAAGTGATGATACTTTCAGAAAACAAGTTTCATACTCATTGAAAACTGCCAGGAGTGAGTGTTTCTCTTCCTGAGTGGGTTTTTTTTCCGCCCCCCCATCTATCAGACTAATAAATCCACATCATGCCCTATGTGCTCTAAATATAAAAGTCCTCTCGTTTTAAGAAAAGGATATTTCTCTAAGAATTCATGCTGGCAGAGCCATTCACCCACATGAATCCACTGGAGCCACCTGGATCAATCTGTGTTGAGCCCTCCCCTTCCTAACAAAAGCCACTGGCTGATTGCTGAGACTCCTGCTGCATACCCACAACACCCTTATGTTTGTCTTCAATGCATACTGTGGCAGCTACATATCTGCCATGCAGACTCCATTCTATTCAAGTGCTATCTTTAAAAAAAAACAAAGAAACAAGACACACCTTACTAATTTTTAAACCAGAAAGCTTCCCTCCACCCAATCTCTTTTCTCCCAGATACGAGTACAATGTACAGTTTATCAGTTATTACAATGATTTTTTTTCTTAACTTTAAAAATTTATTCCCCAAAACTCTTTACTCCCAAATTACCTTGCTGTAATGACTGTTACTGCTGTTTCACACATTACCAGTACAGTGAAATGTACCAGGATAGTTCTGGGGCCAATCCAACAAAAGTAGCTACTGAAATGGACTCATCAGTAGCTTTGCCTGCTTAGACTGACAAGCTGGATTCAAAGGTTGCACATGAAACCTGTCTTCCACATAACAGAACAAAGTGCTGCTTTAGCACAACCTGAGAACAACCCTGGCCACACTCCACTCCAAAATAAACCTACAGAACTTTATTCTAGAACTGACAACTTACAGTATGCCTTCCCTTGAAAAAGCGTTTTTAAAAGAGTAATATCAAATCTGGGTATAGGTCATTGATTCCACTAAGAAATGCAATTATGGATCAGAGGAATCACCACCATTCATTCTGAGCTACAAAGTACGTTCTCATTTGAAAATACATCCTAGCATGAGTATTTTAGCCTATGTTATAAATGTACTTCATATTATAACATTCTCAAAGCATGTTGCATTACAGTGAAGAGTTTCCAAGTAGTATAAATTCCCTGAGTTAAATGTGTTTTAATCTAAAAATCTGAAACTGGTTATTCAGAGGAAAAACCAAGACAAATTATGACCATGATTTTAAGATACAAGATCTACTTCACCCTTAACTTTGACACATAAATTCAGATACCTATACTACTGGTGATACAGAACTGTATAGAATCGTCTTAGGGAGTTATATAGAACCATCGTTTTTTACTGCACAGATTGAAACAGCGTAACCACAATTTTAAACTTGGTAAAAAATTATTCATCTGTAAACCAAAAATATAATTCAAAACTGCAGGGAAAAAGAAAAGGTTTCTTTAAAAATTAATACTGCAACTTTCCTTCATAAAAGACTGTTTGGCAAGTCCACAGATAAACATTAGTCTTTAACACAGAAGCCAACATTAGGCCCAGAGAACACCACAGGTCAAATCTCAATATGGCAAATTGGGGTTGGTCCAAATTTCCTATTGTACTGAATATTTTTGAAATATTTGGATCAGCCAGGGTTTGCAAATCTTTTGTCATATAGGGATTTGTTATAATAAGATTTGATATACACACTATTAAAGTTTTTGCAGAGTTCCTTAGACTTTCCAGGTGTTCATGGTACTGAAAGGGATATTCCATCTTCTTGGAGCAGGTATCTGAAGTATTTGGATGCCAATTCACTTCTTTTCCGTTTGAAAAGAAGTTTTAAAAAATCCTGTCACAAAATAGTCTGGGTCAGGTATTACCTTCACACATAATCACCTTTCGAAACATGGAGTAATGCAAGGGTAATGTTCATTTATCTGATAACTCCGGTTATAAGAAACACTCAGGCAGGGCTTAACTTCTACTGGTATTGCTAGTGACATCCCAACACCAGTCTGCACGTGCCCAAGGCCCTGAACACTAGCTTGGAAGCCAGCAGGACATGTCTGTAAAGTGTAAGATGAGGTGTGTGTAGTAGATACAATCTGCTGACAGCTTGGTTGTTCTGATACAGGATGGCGATACTGCAGTGAAGTCTGATGCGTCTGATGGAGATACTGGGGCTGCTGAAAGTGAACCGGCCGTGAGGGCTGGGAGGATGTCTGGAACACACTTAATTGTGCTGACTGAGGTCCTGCTTGCCCTCTCTGTTTGTTTGCTTCTTTCACATCATTATCATGAGCACTACAACACAGAAAAAGTAATCTCTTAACAATGTTACCTGAGAATTTGCAAAAAAAGTCATGCCCTAACTCCCACATCCTCAACAGTGGACTCCACACACTATTACCACCTCTCTAGATAGCAAGTCACACACTATGCCATAATTTCATCAAAAGGGAGATCTCATTCTTATCCTTTGGTACAATTTCCCTTGGCACAAACCTTGGATCTGGCTGGTAGCTTTGAGGGCTGTTTCCAGCTTAGAAGATAGAACCAGAAGCACTTAAGTGCAGCTGCCAAGAAGTTACATTCTTGGTAACTTCAAGAGTTCAAAGACATGGAAATGAGGACTGGGACAAGACTGGCCTGGCCTGATCTCAGAGTTATAGGCTGCTACAAACACCAGAGAGCAGCTTCTTTCTGTACCAGGTACCCAGAATCACACTAGCAATGACAACCTTTAATTGGATAAATCCCTTTCTACAGAATACTACCCATTCAGCAGCTTACTCAAAGCAGCAAGTGGCTGCCACCAGAGCAAATATCCTAAAAGTCCTGTGCCTGTGAGAAGTTGTTTTTAGGGAAACGTACACCTATATATGAAGAGAAATACTAAGAAATTACAAATACAAGAAATACAAGAACAAAAGAGGCTTACATCAACAGTCGTTCAATGCACTGCACTAGGAAATCCCAGGAGTAAGCAGTGAGACGATGGAGTCTTGTAGGCCACGTTGGAGAAAGGCGAAGTATAATCCTTGAAGAAGCCACACATGCAGCAGCTACTAAAGAAGGTGCATAATTTAGAAAGGCATAATCTGTGGAGACACCAAAAATGAACTTAAGCATAAACAGAATACACAAGTCATAAATTCACAAATCAATTACTGACATACACGACTTACCTTGCAAAGATACTTCCAGGAAGTAATCTGCATACTTGGCCATGTAGAGTTTGGTTTTCTCTAAGCAAATCATTGGCCAGCCATCGTGAAGATCTGTTTCATGCACTGCTTCAGACAGGTAATATTCAATGAAATGGGCAGCTGTCGGAAGGCAGAGGTTCCACTGAAAGGTTTCTAGTAACAATAGTTCCATATGCAGCAAATTTTGTTTTGTTAATACTAGATTCATATTAGTCATACAACCCAAGCTGTTGAGCTGCTCCAGCTTTGGTACACTATCTTCTTTTTCTTCAAATTTACCTTGTAAGAAATGGGAAAAAAAGAGAAAATGTTATGCAAGTAATTGTTCTAGATCTAGTTGGCTAAATGGGTTTTGCTGTTTTACTGCCAGGATTTAGATTCAAAGACATTCTTTTCTCTCTACCTTACAGAGATGCCACTGTACCAGAATTCTCTGTGGTTCTCATACGTGCATATTTTCACCACTTACTCCACCCCCTCACCAACCCCCCAAAATGCTGGGAATATGTAAACATTTTGATCTATGTCTTAATGTGTAATGGAAGTAGTTTTTACACCAGTGGGAGGAAAAAATAACTCTTAGAATTTCACAGGCTGAATCTTTTCTGGAAATTTCTTTTTAGAGGCTTGGTGATGGTGGTGGTGATGGGAGAAATTATTTTATTTCAGAACAGAAGATAGTTTAAACAACTTAGCATCACTGCTTTATCTGAAAGAAAAAATAGTTAAGCTTGAGTATTTCATCTTGGCATATTTTCAGTTTAATCTCAATTACAAACAGAACAAAATAGATTTGGGAAGGGAAAAAAAAAAAACCCTAGGTGACTAACATAAACACTCTCATTCTACAGTCACAAAAGCACAAAACACCAATCTTCTTCTGAATCCAAACCAAAAATCTAGTTGTCTGTTATTAAAAAAAAAAAAAAAAAATGTGGAGGGAGTGATATTTTATAAACTCTTATTGTTCCTTTCAGTTCTTTATTCAGAGCAGAAGAAGAGTGAAGATGATGTGGTGGCTGAACGCCATTGTTTGAAGACATTAACTGGGCAGAAAACACTCATTTACAGGAATTCATGCACAACTATGGAGCACAATTCCTTCTCCAGTGCACAAATATTTTCTTTTCATAGTTTATAGTTCATCTTACACTTTCACTCCCAAGTAAACATTTTACTAATATATATGTATATATAACATTGTTTTGGAGGAATTTCTAGAACTAATGGACAGAGAAAAACTGCAAAGTATCAAGTACTATTATGATTTTTCTAGATGCAGCAATAGAACCAATGAGCTGTCTTCACCTCTGAGTCTTTGTTCATGAAGGCCCATGTTGTTGAGTCAGCTCTGACTCCTAGTGACTCTAAGCACAACAATAAAACACTGTCCCATCCAGCACCATCCTCACAACTGTCGTTACAGAAGGGAATAACTCGTGTTCTATTTTATGTTCAGGTTTTTAAAAAGTTGTAATATTAAAAATATTATAGATTTCTCATACTTGCATACTCATTTAAGATTATGGTTATCAGAATATGGCACTAAAGCAGCACATATTTGTCTTAATATTTTGATAACTCTTCCAACATATTTGGTTTCCCTAGGAGTCAGCATAGTACAGTGGTTATGTACCCAGTGGCAAACCAAAAGGTCAGTGGTTCAAACCCAACGGCCTCTTTGCAGGAGAATGGGGCAGTCTGATCCCACAAAAATGGACTTGAAAATCCAACAGAGCAGTTGTATTCTGTCCTAACCAGTCACTATGAGTTGGAATCCACTGAATGGCAATAGGTGGTCTCCTTGGTTACAACCTAGTCTGTCTAGGAACTAGCAGAGGGTGTGGAACATCCAGCCTGTAGAAGACCCCCGAAATTATTTGGTCTGGTCCTGCCTGCCAAGGCAACCACAGTTCCAGCAATCACATTATAGAGCAGGCTAATTTTAAGCTAATTTAAATAGATTTCCAAGATGGCAAGTCGGGTAGCTGCGTAGTGTAAGGAGCTCGATCAGCAGCAACACAGAATACTGGATCAAGCAGGCTCAGGGGATAGTGCTAGAACGCTGAACCACATATGAAGGAATATTTAGAAGCTTGGAAGGCTTGTTGTTGTTGTCAGGTGCCATCGAGTCGGAACCGACTCATAGCGACCCCATGCACAGCAGAACGAAACAATGCTCGATCCTGGGCCAACCTCACCA